ACTGCTGTTTCGAATACATAATACACAATGTCAGCATGGAACTAAAATTACCATGATTTTTGTAAAATAAATACTGAAACACTGTAAGAATAAAATGTGCGTCAAATTCATTTTAGAAAGCAAATTCAAATAAAGGAAAAATATTTGAAAGCCAGCAAATGAAATATCTTATTATAGTTTGCATGTTTACAGCCTTACAATTGAAGTGTAAATTGAATGTTCGCATATTTCAATAAGAACTCGAGTTACGTCAGCAAGTACAACATCTTAATATTAATAATAATGTTAATAACAATGTTTTCATAATTATAATAATGTCTTCCTATCAATAAGAATGTCTTCAAAATAATAAGAATGTCTTCATATTAATTACAATGTATTCAGATTAATTAGAGTGGCGGATAATCCCTTTTTGCATACTTTTATCGTGACGAACGCAACGTCATTGGCTGTAATATGACGTAATTTCCGTTAACAACAAAAGTTGAACACATTGCACTACTGATATTGCAATTATGGCGCTAAAGCAACGGTAAAATTGTACGTGCTAATTTGGAAAAAACCAGAGACGATCTCTATGCCAATAAATACCTAAGACAAAAGTTCTTTGAAGAAATGAAGCATATGTGAGTTGTACAACATATTTAAAAAACGATTCCACGCGTGATGTTGCCGACCGCTAAAGATCTGGTCACCCGATGAAGTTTATGATTTGTCAATTGTTGTTCGAGAAATGGTTCGTAAAATTCCCCAAGATCGATTTAAGTCCTGCTTTGGCGAGTGAATTAATAGATGGGGGAAGTGTGTATCGTGTAGTGGAGAATTTGTCAAAAAAATGTGTGATTTTTAGATGCCTAGGACCGATTTTCCTGACGCTGTATCCCATCCAGGAGTAGGTTGCCCCGCCCAACGTAACCCTATTCAGTTATGGGCTATTTATACATTTATTTGTACCTATTTGTTTATATTTATCCTTAAGTCTTTGCACATATATGTTTTCAGACAAAAACGTTTTTTTTGTTTTTTTTTTCATTAGCAACATATTACGCATTCCATACATATGTAACTTCATTAGCATAAGTTTTTTTCCCTTAAATGAGTAACCCATTTATATATGTCCTACGTAATCTAGTGATTAAGCATTATGTAACATTAATCTATGATTTGGTAATTTTAAAAATTTAAGTCAATAACAAACAGCATGTTTAAAATATTAGTTATAAAGATTGTTGACGGGTTATATATGGCCCTATATAAACGATTTTGTATAATCCGAGCCTCCAGGCGAGGGTTATATTGCAAACATCCGTTTATATCCGGCCATATAACCTGTCAGAAATATTTATTACGAATTTATAATACTACAAACTCCCCTTATAAGGGCAAAAAGTGACATTTCTTTATAAATTGACAGCAGCCGTGTATATTATTAGTTATAAAGATTGTTGACATGTTATATGGCCCTATATAAACGGCTATTTGTAAATATAACCCGAGCCGCTAGGCGAGGGTTATATTGCAAATAGCCGTTTATATACGGCCATATAACCTGTCAACAATCTTTACAACGAATTTATAATACAGGACGCATCATTTTTTAGTGAAAAAAGTAAGATTTGTTCATAAATCGACAGCAGCCGTGTATATAAAACTATATAAACGTCACGATTATCCAATGAAAAGCGACGTTACAAACGTGCAGTATTATAAAAAACTTTATAATACTGCACGTTTGTAACGTCATTTTTTCAATGGATAATCGTGACGTTTATATAGTTTTATATACACGGCTGCTGTCGATTCATGAAGAAATCTTTTTTTCTCTAAAACTGATACTTGCTGTATTATAAATTCGTTATAAAGATTGTTGACAGGTTATATGGCCATATATATACGGGTGTTTGCAATATAACACTCGCCTAACGGCTCGGGTTATATTTACAATTAGCCGTGTATATTATTAGTTATAAAGATTGTTGACAGGTTATATGGCCCTATATAAACGGCTGTTTGTAAATATAACCCGAGCCGCTAGGCGAGGGCTATATTGCAAACAGCCGTTTATATACGGCCATATAACCTATCAACAATCTTTATAACGAATTTATAATACAGCAAACATCATTTTTTAGAGAAAAAGGTAAGATTTCTTCATGAGTCGACAACAGCCGTGTATATAAAACTATATAAACGTCACGATTATCCAATGAAAAGCGACGTTACAAACGTGCAGTATTATAAAGGGCCATATAACCTGTCAACGATCTTTATAACTAATATTATAAACGTCACGATTATCCAATACAAAGTGACGTTACAATCGTGCAGTCTTATAAGTCAATATAATCACTGGAAATCGAAAATGCTTTTGTAAACCCCAGATATCTGACCCATATAAGAGAATTGGAACAACTTTTGCATCGGATATTTAAAGTAATTATCTTTTTACTGACATCATATCATAGAGTGAAGCCAACATTGAAACAATACTTTCCCTTTAATGCCATAGATTCTGATATTTTATGCAGAGACAATGTTGAGAAAAGTAAACTCCGACATAAGTAAAACCATTTAAAGTTTGAACCGGGTCATTATTATTAAACCATTTTTCGTGTTTTGACAGATGTCTACTAGTTTTGACTATTTAATTCTAACCTAAGAACACGCTTATTTAAAGAACATACATCAGTACTATTTCGATCCAGCTGAATGACCCTTCCTTCAATTTCATCGTGCATGTTCTCCTGTCTGGCGTCAAGGCTCTTAAAATTACAATATAACTCTTGCTTATCATTTTCTAAGGAATATAGAATACTTGATATAGCACAATATAGATTTTATATTGATTTTGATCTAAGAAAAATGAAAACGAGGTTATACAGATTGTAATGTGCATTTGATGAGATTGGAAATAAAAAAGACTTCTGAGGCAAAATTCCAACAGTGAATTATGTAAGAACATCATGTTCGTTTGTTTTTGTTGTTGCTTTTTTATACCTATCGTTTACTTTTTCAATATCTATTACTGAGTCCACATAATCACATCAAACATGTTTTTATTTAATCCGAGTTGAACTTGTATTATATATTTATGAAGAGAATAAACGATTTGTAAATAAATCAGTCTTATTGAATTGAATTTGTATTTATGACTTTATTATTGTCACAGTATTCTACGTCTACATCGATTTTATTCGAAGTTTTAATAACCAAATTTTAAAATCAGCAAATATTTAATCGAGAATACTTTGGACAATATTGATTAATGGTCTTTTATTCCTATGTCTAAATTGTCACTTTTATTATTGTTCTTGTTTTCCATTCTTTCTTTCATTTATTGTTTTGATTACCAAACAAATCAAATCAGCAAATATTTTAATCGAAAATACTGTGGACAATATTGCCTTATGCTATTATATTCCTTTATTTTATGTATAACTGTTTTTTTCCCTGTTTGTATTATCTTTATTATATATTGAAGGGAAATAAATCGTACTTATCTCTAAGCGATTTATTTTTGATGATTATGTCCCATGCTGATAATCAGCTTATCTCTAAATAGGACAGACTACTGTAATAATTTTCCAGTAGACTTACATTATAAGAAATGACAACTAAACCAACCTTAAAATTGAGGATTCATGCTAAAGGTGTGAATTTTTTAGAAGAATGACATGCCTGACACATTAAATTGATCTTGTTATATAGGGTTGAACGATCAATTTTTTCGCAAAAATGTCCCCAAAGGTGATTACCCAACTTTTCACTGAAATTTTGTACTGATCACAGGACTTACATATATTTTTTAAATGCAAATATCCAAATGAGAAATGATGCTGGACACTTATGAAACAGTTCATTTTCTTAAAAAATGCAATGTTAGTTTCTAAAATAATTTTCATACTTATAACAATACATTTTCGTCCAATCACCTGATGTCCCATTGAAACTTTTTGCAGCCAATCGCAGGCCATGTTACAATAGAGTAATCTCGCATCCAGACATTTTAAACATATCGGAAAAGGTGAGACAGGAAAAGAATTCAATAGATGATAAATATATTAAAAGTGAGAGAAAAAATATTGTGAATATGTAAGATTTTTGTACTCGATATCGTTTGTAATGAACTTGGCGCATTAATTTTGTGAATAACTAGAACGGTAAGCAAGGTAATCGACACGTAACCTCTACAATGACCGATTATATCAATCAACCAAATTTTTTTTTAATCAAAACGTAAAGATAATGCTTACACAAAGTACTTTAATATTTGTTTAATGAATATAAATTTTCTTCTAAACGTGTTCTAAGGACAACATTAACACTTTGCATAAATGCAAAAAATAAAGAAAACATATGTATTAAGATAGAATATTATTTTCCCAACTGATGTCAAAAAAAAAAAAAAACCGCTCTCTTTTCGTTCGTTCGTTCGTTTCGTTCGTCTATCCGTTGTTCGTTTCGTTCGTTCATTCAATTAACCAACCAACAATGTTTCAACTAACCAGCAAACAAACAACCATTCAACAAAAAAGCCATGAATCAACCAATCCCTCCATTAATCAATCAATCAATAAATAAATTATCAAAGATTTATCAATCAGATAATCAATGCATAATCTGACCAATATATAATGTATATGTCAAATGATCAATAATAACGTCAAACAATTAAATGAAATCAGTATAAACACAACAATTAATTATATATACTATGTATACAAACAATCAAAGATAATATGTATCCATTGCGTCAATTATTCACCTAAAACTGGATTTATTAAGCATTCAATTTTTACTAAATAATTTTCAGATCATTCCCTCACACCGTTTTTCCAAAATAATCGTTTTTATATAAAAATAAAGAACGCTTTTTACTCAAATCAGGCTTACAAGCGCAAAAAAAAATCGAAATTTCAGATTATTCTGAGTATTTTTCTTTTTTATCCTTTGCACCGTTACTAACTTTGATCTATGCAAGAATTTCAAATTTTAAGCTTTTTGACCTCAGTGGAGCTCCTTTAAAAATAGATTATTTATCTCATAATGAGATGAGAAAATATATCTTAAAATTAACATTTTAATAGAACATAAAATTATAAAAAAAAATGTACAGAAAGAAATGAAAAGATTCAGTCGATCTTAATGATGAAAGTAATTATCATTCCATTGGCTTCTTACACCAGCCCGGTGTCCAAGCGTTGCCAAAATATTTAGGATTTGCTGACGGGTTTGGTTTTGGATACTTAGCGGGTATCATGTGTTGTTTATATTCATTCATGCGTGTCAGAAGTTTCTGAAGCATTTCCGGCATGTCGTCTGCAAGGTTGTTATACTCGTTAGGGTCGTCTGCAAAATAGCAAAAAAGTAAGCATTTAGATATAACACGAGGACTTATGTTGTCTTAAGCAAGCCTATACGGTAGCAGCGACACATTGTAAAGAGTCCACAATGGTTTTTCGACCTTGGGTTTGGACTTAATCGATTTGACTAACACTTTCATGGTTTGATTACTATACATCTAAACTCCAAATACCATTACAAACAGTTGCTTCACTTAAATCACGTTTTATATCAATCATTTATAATCCAATCAAACCCTACCCTCCGGAGAGTGCTTGATACAGCGGGTAAAAGGGGTTTCTAACCGTGCCACTTTCAGCACTGTACATCTACCTAGTCAATGCCGGGATTACGTTGAGGTACGCAAATCAAGCGGAACTCAGACTCGAAGTATAGGGGCAATAGTGTGAGAATTTACCACCTGGTTGCTCCTTTACCTAGTATTTGAACATCAAAAAGTCTCGTCATTTCGCAGGTTTTGCTGCCATATAACAGTTTATTATTTCATTACAAGTAAAAGATTTCTTTGATAACTACAACCTTCGACACTGCACGGACGGAGAATCGGTTCTTTGAATCAGTGGTCTGAACGTTGCTTTTATTTGTTTTTAATCACTCGGATAGCGTGAGTTCAAATCCAATACGAAGCATGATTTTTTCAGGTACATTCGATGTGCTTGCCTTTCTTTGCAATTTAATATACTTGTAAAATCATTATTTCCATACCTTTTAAGTTAAATAATTTGTAATAAGATTCGTTCCCGGCTTTCAATCTTTCTTCAAAACTATATTTATCCTCCATCGCCTCCTCTGTGTACGTTTTATCTGGTGGGTACCAGCCATTGTATAGTCCAGTGTTTCCCGCCAATAATTTGTAATCGCCAATTCTATGGTTTCAAAATGACATAAAAGTAAGACTTGAATAAGATTAAATAAAGTAAGATTTCCATCTAAAAATTTTATCTTATGCTTTCTGAAATGTTTTGTGGAAATAATAGGTATCACATAAGAAAATCGTATTCGTTCTCCATAAACTTTTCTTGAAAAGAAGAAAGAATCAGTAAACTCAAGTTGAAAAGTTTATCACAGTTGAAGCACCGTAATTTTATAAAGAATTACATGTCTATATGACAATAACTAATTTACTACCTTATCCCAGCATGCCCTTGGGTTGCAGGAACTACATCATCAAGGTTATAGATAAATTCCGTCCGCTTACCCTCAGATCCGGTACTTATTGCCTCCCACTGTGATATGCCGTCAATATTCCGGTCTGATAATTATAAATTATTAATAAGTATTCATGTTAATTATAAATATTGATAATAATTCGTACTTATCAATGTCATATTGATAATGATTCGTAATATTGATAAGATTCGTAATAACGTCGATAATTTGTAATTAAATATCATTGCAATACTAATGAGAGAGAGAAAAAAAAACGAAATATTGAAGGTAATTATTCAATATAGTACTCTACTTATCAATATCAAATTGATAATAGTTCGTAATATTGTGTATAATCTGTAATTAATTATCAATGTCATATTGATAATAAAAAAACGAAACATTGATAATAATTCGAAATAGTGATAATAAAATTCGCAATAGTACAATGTAGTAATAATGATCATATTTCTTAATGAAATTCAAAATGATGTTACTTTTTGTATGCTCTTTTTTCATTGTACTACAACAATTGTCGGAATTTGCGTTCATTGAAGCATGCTTCTTAAAAAACATTCTGGGTTAAGTGTTTTTTAAAAAATTTACAGTGACATTATGCCCACCCAAGTGTAAATATAAGAAAATTAATAAATCATGTGACAAACGGAACTTTCTACAAATATCGTTCAGAATGTATCGATAACACCCAAGCCTTAAAATGAGTGGGACATTCTTTTATCATTTCAGGAAGTGTTTATATTGTATCATGAACATTTCTCTTTATCAATTATTGTTCAATCACCATTACAATAGCTAATATTTAGGAATTTATTACATTATAACATTATACTAATTCAACTTAACTTGACATTAAAACAAAAGAAAAATGAGTATAATGTCACTTCCAGTTTAAATCTATGACAAGCTTTATATTACCATAGGTAAGGCCGGCAGCTGTGAGTATTGTAGGGTGCCAGTCCACCGCATGCATTAATCTGCAAAATAAAAGTCTCCAATTATCATCCTTTGAGATATTTTAAAGGCACATTATGCCTCAGAAATCAATATTAACTTTTTATTATTCTTTAGAAATGTGAAATATAAGTTTAACAGAGTTTGAATAATGTATTTATGGTATGTCAGATGAGTAACAATTGAAGAAAGTAGCACTGGACGTGAGTTATGTGTCATTAAGGTAGAAAAATGTAAACAAAGAAGTATTTTGACTTCCATACAAAATACTAATACACTTTAATTATAGCGATTGCCAAAAAAGCTATAAAAGTTGAAATAAAATTAGTACTATTTTTGAGACATGATGGGCCTTTAAAACAAAAGTCGAATTTTAAACCATAGCCTGTCGGCCGCAACTGATACTACCCTTGCGACAAATGCCGAACAAAATCAGCCAGCACATCGTCTGATCATGGTCTGCACTGACCGCCATTCAGTCAGTATATATTTTCACTTTTTTCTGGACAAATAATAAATGGCTTTATCCAGATTTAAGAGGGAAAAGTCCACTAAGTTATTTTTAAAATTCGTCCATAAACTTTTATTTTTGCATAATATCAGTCGGAAGTCCTCGGCTATTATTCAAAGATTTATACGAAGACTGATGGAAAGGGCCGAAAAGTTGCGATTGCTGCAGCATATGAGTTGATGACTATCAACAGTTACCGAACAAATAATGTAAGGCAATTGAAAAGAATTGATTAAATAGTAACTCAATTAGAACATAACAAAATTAGGCTATGTACCGGAACATAGCACTTATGGAATTGCTTGAATCCATTGAATAGTATAGCACGATAAGAAGTTAACATAACAAACATCTACACTATGTATTTGGAGAAAAAAATATGGCGCTAACTGATTTTTTAGTAGCATCTAACATGTTGATTTATTCATTTTACTCTTTACTTTTTAACTTAAAAACGGCATCAAAGGGCAAATAAAATATCAATTTCGAGCATCATATCTTACCCATCGAAGGTGTATCCAGTTTTCTGAAGTCTGGATCCCGAAACAAATCCAATAGTCCTAGTTCCACCTTCCCATACTGTGATTTTTGAGCCACGTAAAGGCCAGTTATTACCTCCCTTTGTTATCATTCCGCCATTCTATACAAACAACATTTTTTTGTGAAATTGTTTCATGTATTGGTAAGTAAGTTAACTAGATTTAAAGACGCATATGTTTTTTTGAGAAAATAGAAGGGCATGACTATTATGCAAACAGAATATGCTCTGAAAACCTGAATCTGATCATTTTAAACTCAGCAGGAGTTTGACTAAATGCAAAAAAGGATTTCTTATAAATTTGCAACAGATCTTTCTGAAAAGATTTTCATCTGAAACAGACGAATTTTTAAACGAAATCATTATTTTTGCTTAAAGATGAAGCAAATTATTAATATTAATCAAGAGTAAAATTTGAAAAACAAGATAAGCGGGGTTCCATGAACGCAACCACCTCGCGACTCGGCAAAACAAGACAACCGGCAAGGAGCCCATCAGGACACCAAACACATATTGTTACCAGTAATACCAGAACCTATTGGTACAGAATAGACAAAAGATATACGAATACAGATATCTCCTTCATGACTGTATATAGCAACAATGTTTCATATATAATAATCAAAACTTACATCAGGTGTTAAAAAGAATATAGTATCATCATAAAGTCCTTTCTTTTTCAAAGCCTCTACGACACGCCCAATAGCAGCGTCTAATGCCGTCACCATACCTGAGAAAATGTGTTAAATTATCTATTATTTTAATATTTTCACATTTGTTTACAAAGCTGGTAGTGATTGATTTGGTCTCCGACTGACTCGTAATAAATGCATAGACAAACATATTAAGAAGAATCAGTCTAAAGAAATAAGAAATGTGGCAAGTGGTCTGTGTTGACACTTACGAGACAAAGAGTAAACAAAAGAATTGCTGGATTCAAGTGAGTTACAAGATTTTTTATATGACCTTTGTTCCAAGTCGGCACATACACGGTGCCTATACCACGTGACTTTGTGTGATCTACGTGGCAAACGTTCAATGGAGCTGGACGGGATTGATGCCAAAGCAGAATGGCTTAAATGATTTTATGTAGAAGACCTTAACCACTCGGCCACGGGAAAAGTAATAAACAAAATGTTACCTGGACCGTTATTTGTACTGATTTTCTGCCTCACGCAATTTAAAAAAAAAACATGATAATTACTTTTTTAACTTCAATTTTTGTTTATATTTCCCAAGCAGTTTGACATAACTGCCACGTTTCTCTTCAGAGGAAATATTTGATAAACTTACCGCAATATGTTCTTCTGTCTTTAGTCTTAACATCCGGGTACAAAGCTTCATATTGTGGTGGTACCTTAATAGAAGATTGAACAATAATAAAATATAATCCCAAATGCAATTACCAATAACAGTAAATTCAATAATTTCAAATTACAAAACGAAAAAAAAAACGAATTGCGTTTTAATAATATTGTATCGAATAGGAAATGTTTATGGTTCTGTTGTCGTTTTTTGTTGTTTGTTTAGCTCTCTTTAAAATAACCCTGGTGGCTGATTTGTACCATGCTGTATTTTCGCTCTGCGTGGCACCATAAGAAAACATGAAAATATGAGAAAGTAACCATTTTGTCGTATTTTTGCGTTTTCCTTAATATGTCTGGCGCCCCGCAGAGCGAACGATGACCCGAAATTACGACAAAGATTTCATTTTGACGTATTTT